AAAAAAAAAAGAAAACTATCTGAAATATAGATAAATAAACTAAGAATAAAGGAGTATTCATAATATACATAATTAAATTCTTTTGTTTTTTTTCATTCTTTATATTTTAACGTTGAAGTACTGCTTTAATAAAATCTTCATACATAATCATTCCTTTTTTATCTTCAAATTCCGAAATAAGTTGTTCAACTTCATCATCTGTTAATCGTTCACCTACACATATATATGAATTGATTAATGCACATATTTTTTTTTGTTTTATTTAGAATTATTTCATACCTAGTGTAGTAAGTAAATGACGTAATTCTGTTGCTGGTATTAAACCATTTCCGTCTTTATCAAAAACACGTAAACCATCAATAAATTCTTCTGCAGGTACAACATAATCTTTTTGTCGATTAAGTCGTTCAAAAATAACTTGAAATTGTTGCATAGATAAACGTTCGACACGATTAAGATCGGTTAAAAGATGACGAATTTCAGCTTCAGTTGGATTAAGTCCTAATGCTCGAAGTGCTTCACCTAAATAATGCTTTGGTATATGATTATCTCCTCGATCATCATATAAACTAAAGACTGTAAAAGAGAAAAAAAACAAAAAAAGACTTTTTTTGATTTCAAATTCGTTTTCTTTTTATTACCATCACGAATTTCAGTGAGTATTTCATCAGTAAGTCCCGGCATATTGTAAAGAAGAAAAGAAAAGAAAAGAATAGTCGATTGCTTTATTTGCTTGATGATAACTGAGTAAATATGACAAGAAAGATAATGAATGACCTATTCTCTCTCTCTTCTACTAACATGACAGACAGACTGAATAAATTTACACAACTATTGCACAACGAATAACAATCGATAATCAATGGATGTCACTGCTGAACAGTGTTCAACGAGTGTATTGAAGAGATTAAATAGACTCAATAGTTCACGATATATCAAATTGCTGTATTATTTGAAACAGAAATCGATAAAATTCACTTGATAATATATTTAATGTAGTTCATAACTTGATCAGTTCCGAGAAACGTATAAAAGAAAACTAAATAATCAATTTAGTTAATTATACAAGATTTTTCACAAATAAATGCAAGTTAACTATCGTTATCTTTTACAATTAAAATCAAGGCAACCATTATTTTATCCAGAGTGAAGGCAGAGAGAGAGCGGCGTCACACCGAAGATTGAAATATCTTCCTTACGGACTTTATGGTTATTGTACTATACAATATGAGTCTGCGCTCTTAAAAAATAGGTTTTCACTGCTCTGAAGTTTTAAATCGCTTGTTCGAAAGAAAAAATCTGAATACAACACTGAAAGTAACCATCGAAGGCTTATACTCTAGTTAACGACGCAAGAATAGCATTGGTGGCGTCTGCATATTGTACAGATTCGTCATCAACGATATATGAAAATTGAGAAAGACAAATTTATAAACTGCAAAAAAAAAGAACATCATTTGACCTATATTCTGGTGAACCAATTGTATTGAAGACATGTACCGATGATGTCACACATTAACGTAAACGTTTTTGCTTTTGAGTAATGAACGAGACATATTATAGCATCGATACAATCATATTATGTGCCAAAATTTGTCGCTTATCAACTAACAAAACGTAGATACATAAAATATACAAACCACACTTTTGCAAAAAAAAAAAATAAATTCAGCAATTTATTTCTTTGAAAAAAAAAACGAAATTTAAATTACACATTATTTATTTAAAAACAACAATAAAACTTAAATACTACACATTTAATACTGATTCTGAATAAAATCGTTTAGGTGAATTCATTGCCAAATTATTTATCGAAGAATTAGTATTATTATTCACGCAATTTTTATCCATATAATCTAATACTAGATTTGATATTTCATTCAATGGGTTTGTACATGATTTAGTATATTGTAGTCTTGGGTTTTTTTGTAATAAAGTTTTTCGATAAAATATATGATCATCAGTTTTGATATTTATTGCTATTGGATAAACAAATTTTGTTTTCCATTTTTTATTTTGATTACTTTGAAAATTTAATGAATTATGATAAAAACCATATAATCGTAGATAATATTTATCAGTTGTATTAGCTGCTAATTGTCGTTGATAAAAATTTCTTGATATATTTGGTATAATAAATGATGTACGATCAAATGATACTAAACGAGTACGTTCTCTTCTTATCAAATGATGATTTGAATATTGACGAAAAATAATTTGTTTACATGTTCGAGCAAATTTTTCAGATAAAAAACAATATAATATGAAATCAGTTGATGCATTTATACAAAGAAATAAATTTGAAAAATTATTAAATATAAGTAAAATAATTCGATGTTCATGTGACATATTTGAATAATTCTCAATTAATGTTTCATATGTTAGTGATAAACTTTGTGGTGTCCAAAATAAGAGTGCAACAAATAAACAAAATATTAATATCATAGTTACTCGACGTTTTTGAACTATTGAACGACAATGACGACGTAAATAGAATCTATTTTGTTTTTTTAATGTTAATTGAGATTTATTTGAATATTCTAATTTATTTCTTGAAACTGATAAATTATGATAAGATTCATAGAGATTATTTGTTTGAAGATCATTATTAAAATGACGTGAACGATGAACATGCCTAATTTTATTAAAAGAAAACTTTAGTAAAGATCTAAGTTTCTTTCAAAATAATAGTTCGAACAATTTATTTGAACTTCTCAATTTGGATTACTATCAATCTACTTATTTCGGAAATAATGCAATCTCCAATATGTTAATCTACTATACGCCTACGGAAACATGGTTGAAGTGAGAAGTGATGTTTTAGTTCGAATTCTATGGATAAAGTAGTCTCCGATGAAACATGACAAGCGCCAGAAGGATGAATATCATTAGAAGTTTTCTCTAGATTTACAGCCGTTTTGCCCTACGGCAAGATACGTAGCAAAAATCGAATAAGGGATATTTTCATTTCTTGGTATATACAATGTCATAAGTGAAAGTTGACGTAACCTGACTATAAGTGTGGAAGAGCGATCTAGGGACATTCAATTATTAATAAGATCGTCATCGAAGCAATAAAAAAACAAATAAATATTTTAAATGTAAGAAATATTCCACTTTATAGAAGTTGTAATTATGTGTTTAGAATTTCTTTCGAAGGTCAACTTGGACAACTATTGTCAAATTGTTTAAAAAAACTTGAATAATCTAATTAAAGTGCGAACACCACCCTCAACACAATTTTGAAATTTTTCAGATAATTTACTGCTAGTTGTTCAATCTTATTCGAAAAGAAACATCTGAATATATATTTGAAAATAATATGAGTGAATATTTTCTAACAAAACTTTCGTGCCCTAGACAATTCGTATGAATAAAATATAGGAAAAAGGAATTGATTTCCACATACTCTTTAGATCCTAAATGAAATGTATTTACATTACGATTGATAAACAAACATTGAAATTCAATGTTACTTTTTATTATAAAATCAATATTTCATTTAAAACTTATGTTTCTCTGACTTAAAACAAATGTTAAATTTCTAAACCAATTATTTTATAGTTAAGTCATTTCATACATGAAAAGACTCTAGTAGAAAAAAAAAAAAAAGAAGGACACTTTTTGTCCTTTAACTAACCATATAAGAATTGAATTACATATACAAACTAAAAGTAATGGTATCCATATAATAATAATACATATAAATACTAAATATAAACGATGAAGATTAAAAAAAAATTTTTGTTGTTTCGATATATTGTTTAATTCTGTTAAATTAGATTTCATTTCATTATTATAATTTATAGATATTAAATTTTTTTCAAAAAATCTTGGTAATGTTATTAGTAAACATATTATTAATAATGTACATATTAAATGACGTGAACGTCGTACTGAACATGTACGTTTAGCATATATTGGTTTAGCTACAGCTAATGTACGTTCAAGTGTAAAACAAACAATTAACCATGTAGCTGTATTTGATGAAAAATCTGCTAATGGACGTAAAATATATAAAAATATTTGAATTAATGAATAATGAAAAAATTTTGGATGTGAACCAAAATTAAGTAAAAGTGTAAAAATTAAATAACATGAATGACATCCAGCTAAGACTGTTAAATAATTATTTGTACTTGTTCTTATAAGACGTCGTCGAGTTAAAACAATTATTGATAAACAATTACCTGTTAAACCAAATGCTACAAGTAATGGCCATATATAAAATTTAACTATTGTACGAACATGTGATAAAAGTATAGAATTTGTTCCTATTGATGATAATGAATGTGAATCAATTAATGATAATGACATTGTTTAATAACTAGAAAGAAATAGATAGAAGTATTGATTATTTCAATGTATCAATTAAAAAGAAAACATTTAGCTGTAACAACGATTCATCTTTTGGCTTAACTCAAATACATTTTTCTACAAGATTCATAAGCAAATACAACATCCATCAATAGAAACTAGAGTGCTAATCATGCTTTTATATTAAACAAAAGATGTGTCAATATTATCCCTTGTTCTTCAAAAACAAAAAAAAAATAACTTCTTCGACGCTATCCATCACTAGCTCGGAACAAAGAACAAGAAAATGGTTTCACACATTAATATATATTGACTTTTGACAAAAAACAGCACACTCTCCAGTCAAACTATTTGTTAAAATAAATTAATTTGAAAATCTTTTTTTGAATTCTCATCTTATTCTATTTGAATGTCAAAAACAAAAAATACAAACGTTGATTTCAGTCTTAATGTTAATATTCGATTTCTAATTTTTGATATATTGATAATTTATTGTCGAAAATAATCTTAACATACTGCTTTCTACTATTCATGTTAACATAAAAAGAAATATTGTTCAATTTACATTTAGATCTATTAGTTATGTTCTTTCAAGTAAAAAATAAGAAGAAAGAATAAAAAATAAAAAAAGGAAGGAAAGCAAATACTTCTTTTTACTCAATCCTATTGGAAAAGTTCACTTTCGCTATTCATATACAAAGATCAGAAATATTTTTCTTCTAGAAATAAGCATGAGTTCATTGAGATCATCATATATATAGTATATATATATATATATATTAAAAAAATCCAAAAGTGTTTGTCTATCTAAATGTTACAAAGAAGAAATACTTGTATACTTGACTAAGAAAAAAGATTAACTCCATCTTCCATTCTATTAGCAAACACATTATTAGAAATATTTTATCTCTTTTTTCTTTTTTTTTACTTTTTAGAACATTACACAGCATGATGATATTTAGAATTTGATCTTTTTTTCCAATATTTCCAGGAAAAACTTACTTCCAATAATTGAAATAATGATTTTTTTTCATAAACAATTCTATGTGCTCTATTCAATGACACTAATTAAATTGAAAACAAAAATTTTCGAAAAATGAACTATTGTTGAAGGATTCTACTAAAAAAAACGCTATCTTGAGCAATTGTAAATGTGAACTGAACACCTCTGGAAATTATACTACGTTAGTGATCCTCTACATATGAGCAAACCATGGTGGCAAACGGAACAGATCTCTTGGAAATGTTCCCATGTCAAGATAAACAAAAAAGAACATCATTGTATACAAATTGAAGGAAAGGCACAATTTAAATGTGTGATAAGTTCTTATATAGTTTTGTAATTTTTGAAAGATGTTATTGTAGCTGTCAATATGCCATTCTGAATGTAATTATAGATCACTCAATTTTTATGTTATTCTTAATGTTGTCAAAAAAGTTCACTAGATGTCTAAAAAAAAATTTTCCTCATAATTATACTTAATACATATACAGTTTTTCATTGGAAAATAAGAATATTATTATTGAATTTACTTTTGACAAGTTTTTATCGCGAATACTATAAAAAAATTCATTGAGTAATATCTTCTGTAAAATAAAAAAAGACAATTGAGACTATTGATCAATAATAATATTCTTGAATACCGTATAATATCTATAAAAATGTCAAAAAAATAATCATTAAACAGGTAAATAAATATTGATATAGGATGATTTGAAGTAATAAAGTTACATATCGAACTTCATATCTTGACCCATGTTGCTTCATGACATATTTGCTGTTGATAATGATTTAGATGTAACTCATTCTTGTCTTTTGAAAAAAAAATACGGGATCCTCTCGACTGGTCCCCCTTGCCAATTATCCCAACTGGTCCCCCTTAATTGACTCTCAATTCGTCCCCAACAAAATTCGTTCCTAGTTGATTGATTCTCAATTCGTCCCCTCAATTAGCCCGTCCGTGTTCAGAAACAATTAGAAACAAATATAGGAATAATAGTCATCAATCAGAAAATTGATTGCTGCGTAGAGCACTCTGTATATATATATGATGTGTTTTCTTAGTAGTGTATTAGTTTCCCTATTGACATTATCTCTGCTCTGAGAAATGCTGCTATTCACATCTTCGGAGCGCGGTCAACCTATACTCAATTACAATTCTCATCAATACACAAAGAAGCGTGCGAGAAAGACGCGCAACGAGTGGCGTTGTCGAGATCGTGGTTGTGCCAGCATGCTTTCTCTTTGCATAGTCGATGCAAAAGTTCTTCGCGAGCCCTCTACTCATACTTTTCAACAACCAGCTTCTGTCGGCAAATCTCTAGTCGACAAAGCAGTTGGTAATATGAAAAAACGTGCACGAGAGGAGACTACGCCGATCCCCAAAATCTATACACAAGAAATCGTTAAAGCTCGTAGGGTGTGAGTGTTGATGAGGATATGAATATGGCTCTAGTCTTCAACCATACCCACACCCACCCGAAAATCTCGAGCTCCTTCTTAACGACCATAAGGGTGGATTGATCACTGACATGCAACTCGTGATCAAATACGGACGCGCTTTGAAGACAAAACTTGTCAAATGATTTCTGTTTCTTTTATTTTTTTCTTGTTTCGTTGTTACTCTTGAATAAAACAGCTGATTGTTGAAAATCGTCTGTTTATCAAATTAGCCACCAATTAGTAGCTATTGGATTGGGGGACGAATTGAGAATCAATTAACGGGGTACGAATTTTGTGGGGGACGAATTGAGAGTCAATTAATACGGAGGGGACGAGTTGGGGACGAATTGGGGACCAGTTGGGGACGAGTCGAGAGTAACTCAAAAATACATTTGACGACTATTTAAAAAAGCAAGCTTTCAATTTTTTTTGTTACTTGAAAAATCTTGAAGGTTACCAAAAGCTTTTGTAGTTTATTAAATCTCAATATTTGTTAAGAAAATAATTTTTTATCCGATTATGTCATTTTTTTTTCCTACTTTGAAAAATAAGGTTAGAAAAAGAACAAATGAATGTATATGTGTAAAGCTCTGAAAAGTCGTTGGCTTTTTTTTTGCAGTAAAAGTACATTCTAATTATCATAGAGTATGATCACTAAATGATGCGTCTGAACACGTTTCGATTTAAAACTGATTATGAACATGTTTATGAATATCGTTTTTTTCTTCTATATAGATTTAAATGTATTATCTGTATTTATACTAGGAAAATGAATTGACAGGAAACATTTTTTCTCATATTGAAATTTGTATTCAAGCTAATTGCATAAATTTATTCAAAATATGTCATAAAATAATAAAAATTTTTAAAGGTATTGAGAATTGAATAAGCAAATGAGTTTGACTGTAGATTTTTTTTTTCGTATTATACACTAATAATCGGCAAAATAAAATTGCTTAAAGTGAAGAACATTTATTTATTGTTTGTTTTTACATGTTTGATTAACTTAGGGATGTATAGATTTGATGAATAAAAATAATTTCAAAAATATTGAATTCTTTGGACAAATAGTCATGCAAAGGAGTTTTTAAGTAACGAATGCAAATACATAATATTGCAACACACTTCTCATGCATGACAATGCATTATCATATAATGTACCCTTGTACTTTTTTTTGTTTCGTAATTTTGTAAAATATCATTCTTTCTTTCATGGATGAATGCATTGATGCAAATCAATCTCGGTAAAATTACTGAATAATTTGACTTAGAAAGGAACATTAATATTAAAATATAAAAAAAAAGCCCTCAGGTCTGTTAATTTCACACAAATTATCTTTCGAAGACCTTGACATTTTATGCGATTCTCATTAGTTATTTTGCAAGTACGGTTCATAAGCCATTATAGTAAAAACCAAGTTAGATTTATTTCGATTTCAACCAGTTATTGAAAATGAAATTAAAGTTGAATAAACATTGTATTCAGAGTAGTGTCCTGCAACCACGTCAAATAACCAATAACCGAACTAGCTATCTTTGAGATCTTGAGATTTCAAAATATTTCTCCTTTTTCAAACTACTACATAAAATCCATATTGTTTTACTAAACGAGTTCATTTTTAATCAAAATTCATCTCCAGATGATGAAGTGATTGAATATATAGAAAAAGAAATGAAAGTATCTGCAGGATGTCGATTAGCTTTGAAATGATTATAGTATTGAAACAGCAAATTCAAATTTTAACTTCATTATTGCTTACAACTAATTATGATGTTCGAATCTCATAATTATAAGAGATGTATGTGATATAGAATATCCCTGTTCTTGAACATTACTCACATCAAATTTGGTATATAGAATTTATCTTCTTCTCCATTAGAAAATATTCGTTCTAATAAAATAATATCGATTACAAACTGAGTATGATATTTTTTAAGATTCTTTAAAGTAAAAACTGTCCTTTTTATTTTTGAAAAGATAATAAATAATTTATCAACAAGTTTAGATATGTATAAAAGTAATACAAAAAAGTGTACTCATCTCCAATAGTATTCTAAAGGATGAGAAGATTTAAAAAGGCATTTTATCGCTTCCAATTAGATAAAATATGTCATATCAAAATGACACTAAATACTTATTTCTTTCCTTCGAAGATGAAATAAATGTCGAATTTTTTTTTTCGTCATCGATTTTGTGTAAAAAATATACCCATTTATATTCGACAATTATGTTATCATGGCATTGAACATATGTTCTGTTGTAATCGTATATGAAATTCTCGTACTCGAAAAGCTTCATATCTGTCCAGCTCTGAATGGGTAATCTAGTTGCATGTTGACCTAGTTATGGTTATGATGGTGTGATTGTAAAAAAACTACAGGGTTTTGCCATTGTGAAGCAAGTTCATGAATAGTTTATTAGATTGCATTGACTTTCGTATAAGTAGTAGATATATTCCATATGACGAAAAACACGATATGAAAAGATATTTTGCTTGTGTATCAGGGTTAATTACATTTCTTTTGCCATTTCAATATTTTTCAATCTTATATCCATACTAATTAAGAAATTAGTGAAATGTATATGTTATAAATATAAAAGCTATTACAAAAGGTTAAGAAATTTCTATTTGTCAGTTCTAGAACACAAATGTCTATATGTAAGAAAAATTGATTTATTTTATTTGATTCGAAACAATACATTAATGATCTAATTAAGATGCTTCACAAGTACGATAATTGACAGTAGACTACTCTTATTGACATTTTCAATGTTTTCTTTTTGTGTTTATCCTTGTTAAATAACTATGATGCATATATTGTTTGGTTTTACAACGTTACATGCTTGTATGATGTTCGTAGGTGGTAAAAATAACTAAATATAAAGGTTGAAAAAGAATCAACAGAAAGAGAAAAAGAACTAAATGCGCAAATATTTTTTATATATGCATCAATAAAAAACAACAAAAATATACCTGTCATTTGTATAAAAAAAAAAGGAAAGATGTATAGTTGGTCATGATGTCAGTACGATATAGCAATATTTTGTATGCAAATTTCGTGAGCGTATATAATTAAAAGAACGTAAGTTTCATCAGCATTTATAGCATCATATTACATTCATAATGAAATTTTTTTCAATGAATACATATGTAAAAAAAAAAAGGGCTTTGATTTGTTGGCCTTTTTTTGCATCTATATTTACAAACGATCAACAATAGTCAATATTTAATAGATGCCAACTGAAAAGAAAAAAACATATGAATGCTATAAACTTCGGTTACTTTTGACTAATCGAAATATAAAATATTATATTTCGTTGTAGATGAAAAGTCTCTTTCGATCTCGTATACCACCAGAATTAACACCAACACAAATCACTAGCTTATCTACAGAATCTCATTTACCAGCAGAAGATATTAAAGAATGGTATGAACGTTTTAATCATTGTTATCCACGTGGTTATCTTTCTTATAAAGAATTTATAAGTTATTTACAACAAGTTAATACTCAAAATGGAAATGATAATCGTCTTACAAAATCAATGGTTAAACAATTATTTAATGTTTTAGATTTAAATGAAGATAAACATTTAAATTTTGATGAATTTTTTCTTTTTAATAGACTAATTAATCAAGGTTCATTAGAAGAAAAACTTAAATTAATATTTCGTTTATATGATCGAGATAAAAAGAAATATTTAACACGACAACAACTTGAAAATATATTATCAAATATGTTTGATTTATTAAATCTTTCGAAATCAAAAAATGGTTTATCACAAAACATTGAAAAAATATTAAATCGTGCTAATTTTAGTAGTCAAAATACAAAAATAAGTTGGAGCACATTTAGTACATATGTTCTGAATGATCCATCATTATTTGCAATGTTAGTGTCAAATGATATTGAACATGATGAACCTGACGATGACGTTGACTATTTAGTAACACGATTTTGATCTCTTGTGTTTCATATAATATTTTTTTTATCATTCGCAAAACTTTATATACTAAATCTCTATTTTATATTACTAATTAAGTTGTAAACTCCTACTAAACCATACGATTGAGCATTAAGGAACGAAATACTTTCTTAATAAAGATGTTCGTACTTAAACTAAAAGACTTTCTTCAATATGAATATGTGTACATGATTCAATTTGTAATAAAATTATTTTGAATCGAATGATAATTTTAAAAGAATAATCATCAGTAAAAACAAAGGATCATGTTGGATTAGATGACCTATGTAAAATTGAGAAACCAGTCGAGACATATCGAATGATACATAATAAATCTTATTTGAATCAGACTTTCAAGAGACTAGAGTCACTTTACTGATAGATGACTATGTATCCAAAACATGATCAGTCACGAGTCAGTATGGCTCTTCATATTAGTTGAAAGTGTTTGAAAAAACAATTGTTTTGTTCATACTTTTGTAGAAATGAGTTACCATCTTTTTTCACGAATGGTGAGTCTATATGTTTTGAATAGTGTCAACTATTAGAAGATGTGATCAGACACCAAACTTTCCTCGAAATTGCCCACAATGTAGCACTACAAAACACAGTATTTGGAAGTTCTTCAACATGAGTGCTTGACGCCCAAAATAGCACTGCTGATTATACTGCGAAAAAAACATCATATTTGGCTATAGAATAACAAGCTTCATATTCTAACTTAATGTTGTTCCGCTAAATTTTGACCGATACTATCCCTTAGTCATTTGTACCTGAATTTCGCCATGTGATCGCTGATGGATCAAATTGTGGTCAAAATATAGAGTTTGTTGTGCTGTTTCCGAATATCATATTTATTGCGTACTATAATCGATTTTTGATAGTCAAAATAAGTACTAGAGGATGAAAATTGTTGTAAAAATTGGTTAAAATTTCGTCAAACAAGGCTATTTTCAGCATCGAGCAGTGCTTTTGAATAGTTTCTAAATAGTGTGTTTTGTAGTGCTACATTCCGAACCGATTTTGAGAAAGTTTGATGTCTAGTCATATCATCTATGGTTAACACTACTGAAGGCACGAGGACTCATCATTATTGAAGAGTAATTGCAACTCATTGGTACATATAAATAAGATATTCTTTTTACAAACACTGTCCACTGATAAGAAGAACCAAAATGATCAGTAACCGATCATGTTTTTGGTACATAATCGTCTATCAGTAAACACTTATACAAAAAAGATTTTTATGTATCATTCGACGCGTCATAATTTGTTCTGCTTTGAATAGGTCATCTAATCCGACAGTGCCCTTTAAATTAAGATTATAATACAGAGTAAGAACGTATTTCTGACATACATCAAATTTTCAAATGATTCGATCGATTTATTGAAATAAATCGAAATCGAAATTAAGATAAATGCATGATAAGAGAGCGCGATATCTGATCTTTCATAAATGACATGATTTTTTGCATTTGGCAATTCGTTTCTTTCTGTTATAACTTTTGATACTCAGGATCAACTTCCTGCTAGAAAAATATGCTTTATTCAAAAAAATCTGGAAGTCTTTTTCGCTTTTTCAATGTTCGTACTTTTCTGCTCATGCATTCCAGAATTCTCGAAGAAGTTTCACTATAATCAACTTGTTTGATTATTGAACTTGTCATCCTGTTCTCTACATAAAAAATTAGAATTGAAAACAAATGAACACTGCAGTCTGACATACACTTTCAAATAAAAAAACTACGATGCAATCTATAAAATGAGCACACACAGAGATTTTGGGTTGTCAAATGATCTATTGTTGACCCTTATTTATTTGATATCTCTAGAAAACGTGTATGATAAAACTTCACATAAGATACAAGGTCCATTAAGTTACTTAATATGTCATTTTCCTTATCATCAACTGTTGTGTCATTATATTCGATTCTCTATGATGAATTCATATTCAATTAGTTGTAAATTTATTTATTTGATGGATTGTGAATAATCATTAAATATTTCATGCATTACATCTTAGACAAAAGATAATATTAACCAAAGTAAAATATTAAAAAGTATCAAAATATGCTTGTCATTCTTGTTCAACGATTTTTTTAATAATATACAAAATTATTAATTTTTCTTAGTTTTAGTCATTGCTGAATTTCTATATACAATTGTCAAAAGCTAATACTATGAAACTTACTACAATGCATTAAATGTATATGTCGGTTTGTTACCTATATCTTTGCTTTATCATTATGACTCTTGTTTGTTCTATATAAGAAAAAACAATGAAGAGAATATTTTAATATCATTGCTAACTCTTTATTTTTTTTTAATATGTCAACGTCTTTTTGTCACATTCCTACGCCTCATATTGACTCAGTAACAGGTGAAAAATATTATACAAGTGAAGATGCTATGAATTTAACACCTGAACAATATGAAGAATGGGTTTATTCAAGTAAAACTGAACATGTTGATGAAGTTCGTTTATATAAAACAAAATTTTGGAATATTTTATTAACAAAATCACCACCATTTTTACCATTATTATTTTGGCCTTTGATTATTTATTATTTAATAATACCATTGACATTTATACGATTTTATTGGATTTTAATTGGTTTTATTCTTTGGTTTCCATTTGAATATTTATTTCATCGTTTTCTATTTCATTTACCAGTTATTGGTTATCATTCACAAAGACTTCATTTTTTTCTACATGGTATTCATCATGTTGCACCAAATGATTTATGGCATGTATTTTCACCTATTCATGAATTAGGTATTCAAGCACTTATTGTTTGGACTATTTTTAAGATTATTCAATTACCAGATCCAAATGCTTTAATAGTTGGATTATTGATTAATTATATTCGATATGATTCAATTCATTATCTTATTCATGCTTATAGTCCAACAAAAATTTCAAAAATACCATTAATAGGATATTATCTTAAAAAATGTTCTATTCATCATCGTCAACATCATTTTTCAAATCCAAGAAAACATTTTACAATTAGTTTTATTTCATCATTCTTAGATTAAAATTATAATTTATAATTTATTTTTGTTAAGTTTTTAAGCCTGTTGATAACGGACTTCTTTTTATAACAAATAAAATATAAAAAAAATGTTGTTAATAAGCTATACTTTGAAAATCATTGACAATCATGTTTCTCGCACTTAAACTTGACTTAAAGATATCATGCTGTTGTCAGATCACGATATATTCAATTAGTTTATCTTCAGATTTCTATTAACTCAACTCATTGATTACTTGATATGTTGTGCAAATGTTAGTATATGTAGTTAAATAACAATAGTAGGAAATTATCAGTACGCAATATTTAAATAATATGATAATCATTTTAATGATATTCCTTATAGTAGTATTACATTTTTTTTCCTTTCTGTTAAACTATAAGGAAAAAAAAAGAAACAACACGTGAAAATCGATAAATAACCAATCTTATACTTACCTTATTCGTATAAACAGTCTATCACACTGTCTTGATTAATCATCGAAATACATGGCTACGTCTTCTTCAATCCAGAAATTGATTGATACAGCTCATATAATTGAATCGAAAGGCACACATCGTCATTCGATTATTTGGTTTCATGGTTTTGGTGATAGTTCAGATGGTTACAAAGATTTATTTACTCAAATACAACCACTAAATACAAGAGTTGTATTACCAAATGCACCAAAACGATGGGTTACTATTGAAGGTCGTCGATATCAATTACGAAGTTGGTATGAACACGATGACACAGTTATAAATGCAGGTTTACAAGTGATCGAATCCGTAAAAGAATTAATTGATGAAGAACTTAAACTTGTTAATGATGCTTCACATATAATTATAGGTGGATTTAGGTATTTGTATATTTCTTTTTTTTTTTTGTTTCATTAGAAGTTTTTCTATCGTTTATTTTTAGTCAAGGAGCTTGCTTATCATTATTAGCAGGTTTAACCTATACAAAACAACAGTTAGGTGGTATCATTTGTTGTAGTGGTCAATTAGTGCTAGAAAATATAATTCCAGATCTTTTAAGTGAATATGCAAAGAAAATACCGATTTTAGTTTTACATGGAAAAGATGATAATCGAATTCCTTGGGATAATGCTAAAAGTGGTTTCGAACTACTAAAAAAGAATGGAATCAAAGATAATATGGAAGTTATACTAGAAGATGGAGTAGCACATACTGTTAGTGAACGTGGATTTCATTTAATAATTATATTTATTATCAAACAATTCAAATTATAACATAGTTTATTTTTAAATCAAATAAATTAATATTCACTTTTTATTTTATTTAATGACTTTAAAACACGAGATTTGTTCTTCGAAAAAGTTGAAAGTATCTTAATAAAGATAGATGATAAAAGCAAATTTTGTTAGGAATGAGTCTGTCGGATATGAATACCTTCTTACTGCGAACAATTGATGCATGTTTCTAACTCTATGAGCAATATATATTCTATCAATCACATACCGAACAAGGACAAAAAAAATGATATCACGTGTATTATGTTATGAATAATAATAATCGATCACAAAAAGAAAAAAAGAAACGGACTAGTTGTGAGTATTTAAAAACAATAGAAGTTTGAAATAAAAGAATGGTTATTATCTCTTTTTCTTTTGAATCCTATCTTTTCAAAAATAGCCAAGAAATTAGAAATGTACTGCTCTTAGGATGTGCATAAGATTCATCTAGGAAGAACCAAAACAGTTATAATGACGTTTATGCAAATCAACATCTTCGACACAAGAAATATTGATAAATTTTTATAATCATAATTTTTTTTCATCTGAAAATTGTTAGAAATGCTCAAAATAGTTTAATTCTTTTTTGCTTGTTAGAACTACAGTTCTAACAGATTATTAAAATGTTTTTTTTTCACTCAATGTTAAAAATTGAAACATATTTACAAAAACTATCAGAATAAACTTTCTTTAATTGCTTCGCATAGTGTAACATATCCTCTATTTGCACTACTAATTTTAGATTTAGCGATCGATCATTTGTTATGAGAATGACTGCATTTCGTAAACATGTTTATTCTATGCTTGAATAGAAAAATAGTTTTGAAAGAAGTGATGTAATAAAATCTTTTGTGCAAGAATTTTTAAACGAAGAATAATTTATTATATAATACAACGTTATGAAGTTGATCTATCAATGAAGGATGTTCCAACGAATGGTCGTCAAACATCTTTTTTGATAGGAAAAAAATCTGAAACTTTTGCAAACTGCGTCTGGATATCTTGTTGGTGTCAATCAACGAAAATTAGCAAAATGTTCGGCTATAGCATCTTCAACACAAAATCAAATTCATGCCAAAATAGAACAATTCAAAAAATGTTCCAAAAGCTATGCCTACAGAAGAGTTTTAGTCAATGCTTGCTGGTCAAGTAATACATGGAAAAAAAGTTCGGGACAATTTTCCTATCGATATAAATAGAAAAATTTTTGAGAACTTTTTTCAATAAATTATATCACAAGATGCAGTGTGAAAAGCTCTACAATTTACATAAGGCAGCTTATTTATAGTTGCACTTTTTGTTCCCAAAATAGACAAAATTTCGACCATGTGAAAGCGATATATTTTTTTTGCGACAAGGTGAATTCACTTTTTCTTATTTCATCTTTTTATAATTGTTTTTTTGTAAATTGTAGAGCTTTTCATGCTGTATCTTGTGGTGTATTTTATTTTTTTAATAAAACATATCAAGTGGTAAATAAGAAGAAAACGTATTGCTTGTGTATTGAAAAATAGACTTTTTCGTAGTATCGAAATCTAGATGCTCAGAATTTTGTCAATTTTGAAAACAAAAATACAAATGTAAAATCAGCTGTCCTTTATAAATTGTAGAGTTTTTCACGCTGCATCTTATAGTATATTTTGTTTTTTTTTTTTTTAATAAAAGATATCAGATGATAAAAAGATGTCATAAGAAAAAATGAATTCATCTTGCATCGAAAAAGAAAAATATTTTTCACATGGTCGAAATTTTGTCTATTTTGAAAACAAAAAGTGCAACCATAAAATAAGAAGCCTTATATAAATTGTAGAACTTTTCACACTGCATCTTGTGATATAATTTATTGAAAAAAATTCTCAGAAATTTTTCTATTGATACTGATAGAAAAATTATCCCGAACTTTTTTTTTCCATACCTTATCATTGAAAGATTAATCAGTCATGAAAATCGTTGAAAACTTTTATTTGATCGTTCTTTGAAATCCTTCTCGTTATCAGAGCTGGGAAAGAAAGCAATCAACGTTTGGGTCATTGTGCCAATAGTAACAATCGGTTTATTTTTATTACATCCTTCATATACAAGAAAATCAATTTTCGTATGCATATAATAGATAAAAGCAAAGCAAACGAAGATTACAGCATACTAACATAATACTCGGACTATAAAAGTATAACTATTTGATGATCGATGGTGATTCAATATGTTTTATAAGAAATCACATGTTCAAAAAAAGTTACTGAAAAAACACATCAATAAGTAACTACTATTTTTCGATATCCTATTGATTTGAATATGTAACGACCAAACGAATAGAAATTTCTCGTAGATAAACTGAAATATTTCATAATAAATACAAAGATACTTATCCTTACTATTTCTTCAAAAGTCGTTTAAGTACTCATACAAAATAAATATTTCATACGTAAAATAAAGATAATTTCATATATCAAGTTTAAAAAAACGACATCTCTATTTCTTTCATTAGTATCTATCTTAGTTATATTGCTTATCTATATTTAAATGTTTGTAGTTGTTTGCTTCTTCGTGCTAGATCATGTGATTCAACTTTCTATTTTTCAACAAAGATAATTATTAAGAAAATAATCTTTTTCTTAATTATTCTTGACTAGAATATCATTCTATCAGATCGATTATCATTACTATTAAACATGAGTCATTTATAGAACTTCTCTTCTTTTGTATAAATACACACCTTTTGAGTGAACCACACCTCCTCTTCTATTTTTCAAATTGACTTTGTGACATATTATCTTCATATTTATAACCTGTTTCATTCTCAGAATCGAATCAAAAAGAAAGTAGTAGAAGAAGAAAAAGAAAAAAGAGGTGTCGAGGATGTATTCAAGAGCTACTACAAAGGTAGATAAGAACAGTCAGCGCCTATGTGATGCTGTATTTATACACTCTGATAGAAATAATGGCAGTCATTTTAATTCACGTGCTTATATTTAACCAGTTAAAATACATTCGCAGTATGTAGATAATAAATATAATAAATACATACGGATATTTTATACTACGTAGATATTATAGAACAATATGAATACAATGGAAAAACCTATGACAAATGGAATAGAAAATGTTTGGTTACCAATTCAAGCATCAAGAAGTGCAAGAAACACAATAAATCCTATCCGACGTATTGTTGATCGAATGAAAATAAGTCCAAATCCAGCAAAAGAAATGATATCCCTATCCATAGGAGATCCGACACATTATGGAAATATGCTTCCACCAGTTGAAGCTTTAGAAGCAATCGTTCAATCTGTACAATTACCTACATCACATGGTTATGCACCATCATTTGGTAAACTATATTAATCAAAATTTTGTATATATTTTCTTGTTTTTTTTTTCTAAATTATCTAGGTACGTTAGATGCACGAAAAGCAGTAGCTCAGTTTTGGTCTCGATCTAATTATACATTAAAGCCTGAAGTAAATACGAACAAAAAATAAATAAATCTAGTATCTCGCTGTTTTTTCTTCATCTAGAATGTTATTTTAACTAGTGGTTGTTCTCACGCATTAGAAATGTGTATTGATTGTATTGCTGATTCAGGAGATAATATTCTTCTTCCCCGACCTGGTTTTTCTCTATACGTTACATTATGTCAATCGCTTGGAATTGAAACTAGATTTTATAATTTAATAGTAAATTGAAATTAAAAAAAAATCTGTAAAATTTTTTTATTCGTCTTGGTTTTTATTAATTTAGCCAGATGAAAACTGGCAAGTTGATTTAACTCATCTTGAATCATTAATTGATAATCGAACACGAGCTGTTTTAGTTAATAACCCAAGTAATCCGTGTGGAGCTGTTTATACAGAAGAACATTTACGAAAAATTATACACATATGTGAACGACATCATTTACCAATTATTGCTGATGAAATATATGCCGATATGGTAAAAGACATAAAAAAGTGAATTTGTTTTTTAATTTATGTTTTTGTTTTTGAAGGTCTTCTCTAATGATACATTTCATTTTCTTGGTTTACTGTCAGAAAATGTACCGATACTTTCTTGTGGTGGCCTTGCAAAAAGATTTATATGCCCAGGATGGCGTGTTGGTTGGATTGTTATCCATGATAGACATAATCTTTTCAAAGGTAAAACAGAATGAGAATAATATATTTAAATAATATCATTATTCTAGATACAATTCAACCTGGTCTAATAGATTTATCTAGTCGTATTCTTGGTCCGAATTCAGTTACTCAAGCAGCTCTACCTCACATTCTTTCTGAAACACCGGATTCTTATTTTGATGATATTCTTAATCAACTTCAAGTAAAACTTTAGTAAATTGTATTTATTTATTTATTTATTTAAATCTATTTAGAGCAATGCAGAATATGTTTATCATTCGCTTTTAGATGCACCTGGCCTTCACCCGATAATGCCTCAAGGTAAAAAACAAAAGTCTGAGTTTATTTATTCTTTCATTTGATGTTCATTTTAGGTGCTATGTATATGCTTATTCGTATAAATCCATCGGATTATAACGATATTGAAAATGATAAAGACTTTTTTACGAAACTCATTTGTGAAGAATCAATATCATGTCTTCCTGCATCTGTAAAATATTTTTTGCTAATATTAATTAAATAAGTAAATTTCATTATTTAGGTATTTGGTATTGATAATTTCTTTCGTATTGTACTTACGACACCAACGGATAAAACTGAAGAAGCATGTCAACGAATAGTCGAATTTTGTCGACGACACGCAAAATCTATTACTTAAACAAAAACTTGTTCAATATTTTTTCTTGATTTTAAAAAAATAAAAAAAAAAGAATTCTAATAAGCGCGGTTACATTAATATAAGCAATTAGTTCAAGCAAATATCTACAACAGTTCTGTTTACCTATCAATTATATAGAAATTCATATGAAGTTTTTACTCTTTATATTTCTCATAACACGAACTCAACAATATGTTTTTGATCGATTCATACAAAATCAAACAAATATAGATGAAAATCGTTTACAAGTATTGAATAACCAATATCAAAAAAATCCAAATAGATCTGTGATTTCAAATAAGATTCTTATTATTATTATTGCATGTCTTACTATGGTGGTAATAGTAGCGTAAGTTATATTTAGATTAATCAAAGAAAAAGAAAAAAAAACCCGACAATTGTATTTTACAGATTATTAACAATTTATTTTAACAAAGATGAAATCAAAGATTTTATCAGACGTATAGGTTTAAATAAACGTCCTACAATTATTCATCAATTTCATCCAGAAGTTCTCTTACATTCGTCAGTTCGTGAACAATATAAACAACAAACACTACCATATGAGCAACGTCATGCTCAATTGTCTGCAAATATTAAGTCTAAGCCCACATATGAACGTAAAAAACGAGAACAAATATCTATGCATGCCTTTATGAATTTATCTAATAAAGATCAACTAGATTCGATATATGACAGTCAACATTCAAAATCGGCAGCTAATCTTTTTTTGTATCATTAAAATATAATAATCGATACTGTCAGTAGGAAACAACAAATTTAAATATAGTTTGTTTCGATAGTCATTATTGAATACTTGTTTGATAGTAAAAAATCATCAATGGATAGTGAAACAGAAAATAATCGATAAGTCTATGGCAACTTCAACTAGAGCCTGTCGGATCCAAAATTTTTGAAGCCGAATTCAGTTAGGCTCGAAACCAATGCGGCAAGCTTGAATTCCAACTCAAAATCACAACTTCAATAAATCAATCAACTATTGAAACAGTATTTTCAAATAAGAATTGATTCTGATTGAATTGTTTTCATTCACAAACTAAATATCTTATGAAATCTATTCAATATGGTCGACATATGTTGAAGTTTCAGAAGCTGTACTTTCATTTTTGATATGAAATGGCTTCACAATGTTACATGAAACTTTTAAAACCTTCGATCGATCAATTTTTATTGAATAATTGTTTAAAAAGTACAATTGTAATGAAAAGACTTGTTTGAAATGATTAATTAGTTAAAGAAAGCTAATAAGTCAGATTAGATCGTATTAGAAACTATCAATAGAAAGGAGTTGACGAGTTTCAGTTGAAAAGACAAGGATCAAAATCGAGTTTTTGGTTAATATAACATGGACTGTTACGGAAGTACCATACGAAAGCTGTATCGAAAAATTTTCTTCTAAAGGCATCTGCATAGAAGGCTCAACGCAGGACTGACTGCTCTATTTAATGAGATTATAACGAACTAAAAGGAACTGATATTATTCTGCAAAGATATCAGCGAGATACTTTACCATTTTGGCAATGATCTTGATGATAGGAGGTTGATAGCAATGTTTTTCAGTCATTATAGTCATGAACATAGTAGAATCAATAGGAAATAGTTACGAAAACAAACAACATAAAATTCTGCATAGAACGATATATGAAGTCTAACAATTCAAGAATGAGTAGCTCTTACGACTTAATTGTCTTTGTCTTTTGTATTGTATAAAAGTTTTAATAAAATAATGTATTTGTATTAACCATCATAACTTACAATTGAAACTATGTGAATGATTGAGTCCAAGATTTGCTATCTCCTAGTTTATCACACAAAATAAAAAGAAATACATTTCAAACGTATCATTCGATATACTTTAAAAACTTCATTATATAAATTAAATCCTAACTGATTGAATGTTAAATAAAAGTCTAACTGTTCTACATCGATCTCTGCAATTTACACTTTCGTCCTAACACATTGAATATATTGAAACAATTCACTGTTAACAAACAAGACTGGATATTTTTTTCGATTTTCGTTTGTATTATTTGAAACAAAATGTTGACAAGTAATAAAATGATATGAGGCTTTTTTTTACTGTCAAGTGTTACCCCAAAAGACCGTTAAAACTCAAGAATCTGCATTTTTCCTCAAAGCAATCAGCTTCTATTATCATTATAGCATCAATAAATATCTTTTAAAATAGTAACAAGTAACGCGACGCAAACGTCGCTAACCCTCTACTGAAAGGATCTATGCCGTTGTGCATATCGTATGTGAACATATGAGCGACGGACCTACTATTCTCATATATACTTAAAGTAACAAAGGGTGTGGGTGTGAGTGTGGATACGAATGTACGTCTGATCGAACTGAAGACTCGCCAACACCTACTCAACTCCACCCACAGCCCGATCCACACCCTTTTTTTAGCATCAATTCCACTTCGAAGATTAATCGTTTTGATATATCCTTCGCTCGTTCTATGACGATGATCAATATATTTGAAGTTACTTTTATATTTCAAAATAAACACCTGATGTCCTGTTAGAGACTTTTCAAAAGAAAGGGCATTCCTACGCAAAAATCACTTTTTAAGACTCATTCAAGATAATATAGATTCGTTCTTCATTCATTTTTATTGGACAAAATCGAAAAAGGAAAGGACGATTATCACGTTGTCTTCTCTTAAATTTGGCTACTGATTGACAAGTGTGATGGTATAGCATATTAATATTCAAAGAAGTTTATTCAATTATAATCATCGATAGACGTTTGTTTAAGTATAGCTTATCTTTGAAAAACGAAAAGATAAATGGTTTGCTTCGTAGCCATCGAAACGATGAAAACCATAATAAAGAGTAGCATACAATACAAAAACAATTCGAAGGTTAATTATGCCAACTCACTTGTCGCTGGTCACTACGGTCAATCGATCGATCTTGATGAACAGACAGTTTTCTTGCACCACCAAGATCAATTAAATGGCAATAGTTATGAGAGAAAGACAGTTTATGAGTATGAAGTGTCTACTTGTTAGATTAAATGCTTTCTTTTTGTATTCAGATACGGCTTATTTTGCGTTGAGTGTTTATATGCGAAGTACTATTGATCTGATCTGTTGAGAGAATAGTATTATATGATGAATCTCTGCATTGAAATCGTGAATCTTAAACTTAATGATGTAATACTTGAAGAGTTAGTAAGAACAATTGCTTTTCCAAATATTTTAGGAATATTATTTTGATCAAAATTTAATAAAAATCATATTCAATCAATAAAAAAAGATATTTTTTCTGATAAATTCTTGGAATTATAATTTATTCCCTAGGAAGAAAAAATTCTTCTAAAAATTTACTTTTTTTCATGAAAAGCGATAAATAACTTGACAATAACGTTCTTGAAGTAGGTCGCATCCTATAAACTCATAAGCTTATCTCAGTAAATCACAAAAATGAATAATTTTTGTTCGTTTACTTTTTAAGTCAAATTGATCATTAACAAAAAGAATATCTTTTAAATTTTGATCAATGTTTAAAAATACATCTTTATCTGCCAATATGTCAAGTAATTCACAAAAAACAAAGATTTGTAGTTTTATTATAATAAATATGCTGTAAAAAAGATACTCAAAATTGATTTTTTACAAATATCTAATTTAAAAAATTCTTTTGTTTTCTCAGGAATCCAAAATTAACTTTCCCAGAGATTTTCTTTTTCTTTTTCTTTTAGATTTTTTAAAGTCTTGTCGAGTCATATTTCTTTATACATCCATGTAATATCCAACTTGATCTATAAAACAAATATCTAAATTATATTCAATTATTTCAGATAAAAGATTAAAATAGAAATGATGATAAATTATTTATTCCAAAAACGTTTCATATCTAAATTGATTAACTATCGACTTTACAATATTTTTTAAAGTATTGATGGCATAATTAACAAAATCATAGGTATTACTAGAAATTTATCTTTTTTTCTGAATTCTGTTCCAGCTGTTCTCTTTTGATATTTAATACATAATATTTTACATTAATGGACGTACGTCCATATTGCACATGCGCAGCTTTAGTAATACTTTCTACTTGTTTTACATTTCTTTCATTTTTCTGAATTAGCCCACTTGTATCATAAAATCTTATGTTCTCAAGAATAATATTTCGAATTCTAATAGATCTTAAATTTATTCCATCGTTAATCTAGAACCCATTCTTTTTAAAATAACTGATATGTTCATTAGAATTTCCAGTTTTGACAATTACGACTACATTTTCGGGAATCTCTGGTAAAGTATTTTGGCGAATATCCAATCTTAAATATAGATTGCAAATTGAATCTCAAAGATATTTTACTTCTTTTACAATATTCATCTTATCAGTTATTATTTGCTGTTCTTAACTAAATTGCTGGTATATGCAATATGATAGTAAAGTTTAGCAACTATATTTTTTATAGTTTAATATTTGTCCTTTTCCTAAATGATCTCGAATTAAATGGCAAAGTTCATTTATTTCTCCTGATAATATTATAGCTTGTTGCTTTATTTCAGCAAGTCGTATTTCTTCTTGACTAATAAACTGATCATATTTTTCTAAAATTTATTCTAAAAACTTTATCATAATTTATTTTTCTTTTATATTTTTTCGTATTATTTATTACATAGTTCAAAATCTTTCCTTTTTCTTGTCATAATTTCTTAATACTACGTCGGATATAATTATTGCAACTTAATAATAAATTAAAATATTGTACTGACGTTTCAAATTTCAAAATATATATGAATATTTCACAAGTGAATATGAAGTATATTATATGAGTGATTCAGACCAATCGAATGTATTCCAAATCGTTGTCACTGTTAATCAAAAGAAACGAACGGTATTTTCTTTCCTTCATCTGTGGAAAACATCGCTTTTGTTTTTGCTTTCGTTATTTATATGATTCTTTTATTAGCAAGACGCATTATTGTATATATTAAGAGAAAAAGAAAGAGACTTTAATTTATAAAAATCCATCATTAGGTCCCAACTTAAATCTTGTTAATATTGAAAGTAAAGAAGTAGAAAAGAAATCTTCTCTTCAAGATATAAGATCTATTAAAGTATATCATTAAAATGATAATGAATATAGTAGTAGTGATGAAAATGATATTGTTGATATTGTATATTTGCCTGAAATTTCAATGATTAAAAGGAAAGAAGATCAAATTTATTAACATCTTTTATCGATCGGTAACAAAATTTATGATGGTACAATTAACGAAAAATTACGTGAAGAATAAAGTAGATCCAGTGTTAGTGATGAAGAAGAATATTATTCTAGTTCATGGAAAGATAATAAACTTGATGGATATGATTATAATTTTAAAAATCACGGTTCAATTCTTTTATCATGGTGAATTTAAGAATGGAATAACTTAAAGTAGGTTATGGAAAAGTGTAATTATCAGATGAATATGAATATGAAGGTAAGACTGAAGATAGAAAATTCCATGATCTTGAAAGTGTTCTTAAACTTATAGCTGAGTGGAAAGAAGGAAAAAAACAGAATTGGTTTATATAAATGATACTGAACACTATTATAAAAAAATCAATATGAAGTTTGTTTTATAAAAGTTTAGAATCTACAATTTCATTAAATAATGCAAAGCAACAAAAATAAAAATAAAATCTTCAAAATTTCATTGATTTATTTGAAAAACGTCTTTCAAATCTTAAGTTACTAAAAGAAATAATT